AAAAATCGTTTAATTTCGATTCTGAAAAATCAAACATCACTTGAAGTATGCTTCGTATCAATCCGATTTTGTTTACGAAGAATGACACGACACGAAGGAAAAGTAGTAAACCAATTTTAAATTGTACAAAACATGGGAATTTTTTGAGAGATTAAACACGGACTAGTTATACGTAAAAAAATTTACATTGAATTAAGGATGAATTACACCACGGGGCGGCGCGTCGGTACACGCCGTCTGACGAACGCGCGAGCGTGAGCCACCGGTGGTGCACACCGCCCGATGAAAGAGTCAAGCGCGAGAATTACACGTCCGACCGCTACCGGTTGGCGAAGCGTTAAGAATTGTACATAACTACGAAGCGTATCGACTTGCATGGAAATACGATCGGGACGGTTTATTTGTTTTGGTGGCTGAGACCAGACACACGATCGGAACGTTAATATTGCATCGGTCGCGGAAGGCAGGCGTACGACCGCAAAGGGTTCGTACGGATGAAACATCTACGCGTCGTATGCAGTGTACAAAGTTGCGTTTGAAATTGTTTCTTTTCTGGTGTTTTCTAACCGCGGATGTTTATGCAAAATCATGCTTTCGCGGATACGGAAAGGCACGTTGTCTCTTCTTATTCGTCTGCAGCCTTTGATACATAGCACGATATAAAATGTACGATACAGTCAAGATTCCCGTATCCGTACCAACGTGCCAACATGTCCTACATATCGTTCCGAGTAGAATTCGCGTGAATTAAAGTTTATTATTTTTAACGTTAACCTCTTACTTCTTTTCCTATTAATTTCATTTTAAATTGATCGCCGTACTTCTTGTACCGACTGTAAAAGCGAAACGAATAGAATACAGGAAGAAGTCGGAGTGAAAGGGTTTTAAAACCTTCGTTATACTTTGTCTCCGTTCCTTAAAAGAAACGATGGGAAACGTCCATAACCGATGGAAAATAGACGGAAAACGAATCGTTCGTTAACCATGAAATATGTAACTCGAATCTTTTCCTGTTTCCTGTTGTAGGTAGCGTCGAAGCTCGTGCGTCATTTCCGACAAGTCCACGGTGACGAGGAAAACAGCAATCTGTAAAAACCGGTAAGTACATCGCGCTCAGGTTCGCGAAGAATGTAAAACCGCCGGCGTTGCATGAATTCCTAAAGTATGCATGTATACGAACTTTACCGGAGGCCTGTGCATATACGCAGGGAACGAAGCCAGCCAGAATAATCTGAGTTTATTGATCGGCTCTTAGTTGCCAACTTGGCAACGGCAAACTTCTGGAATTACGAATGAAATGTTCTACATAACGAAACGGTTCGCAAATCAGGTCTTTCGTACCCCTTCCGGTCCTAGCTACCACGGGAATTTCGTCTCCCTTTGCGAATGTTTACGTTTCGACTATTTCAGCGGCGACGCGTAATCGATGATAAAACGTTCCCGCTTCCTCGAGAGTCTAACAGGTTACTCGTTTAGGGTCCGAACGATACCACGGTAAACAGTTCAATTTCGTAAGGGTGGAGATACTTTCTTTTCCCAAAGAAATGAACGTTCAAAGAATCGGCAGATTATCCGGCCTGTTACCAGACTTTCTATAATTACGTTATACTTCCGGCGAAACGATGAAAGCTACTCGACGCGATTTAATAGAATCGACGCCGACGCCGACGCGGACGCGCGAACGTCCGTAGACGCAAAAACAAGGGAACGAGATACAAGTGGCCGGGTATCGGAATATTCGCGATCCGAGAGCAAGCGATTCGTACAACAGGGGTGTCCACGCTAAAGTGTCACAGACGCATACTTCGATAACTATCGATGACACGAAAAATTTGTTTACGTGTAAATCGCAGGATACAATGGACTCTGTGTTATGGCGTAAACGAAATTTTTTTTATATCATTAACCCTTTGCACTCGAGAGGTGTGTATTAACCCTTTGCACTCGTGGGGACACCCTGTAGAGAAAAGGAAAGGAAAGGAGACAGGAAAGAGGAACAGCTTACTGACAGCACCTTTGCCTTCGTTGCGAACTAAACGCATTAATCTGCAATCGGCAACTAATCCTCGACTCGCTAATGAACGGAATATTCATTACGATACCGGGATACGGACCGTCGGACAGTCCCTTTGACAAATATTAATTATCAGCTACGATTAATAATAAACACGGCCGTGGGCCGTATCGATCGGCCGCGGCTTATAAAATACGCGAAACACACCCTTGGTCGCATAAGTTGTTGACTATCGAATCCAATTCCGTTGCGACAATTGCGTACGCGACGTTATGCAACGCGAATGAAACCGACGATCTCCCTCAGTTTTACAATTAGACGCGTTTACGCGACGCGACGAGCGAGCCGGATTCTCGAATATCGAAATTAATCGTACGGTTGGTGACTTTAACCATTTTACAATCCGTAGCTTCGTTTCTAATAGCTACCTAGAACACGTGTACGTATTATTATTTCCGCATCCGCTCCGTTGCACATTCTGTACAATGTACTTTCACTTATTTTATGCGTTACATCAACCTTGGTTATGAAAATGTGCTCCCGTCTGCCAACCAAACTCATCCGTTTCGTTATTCTAGTAAAAAGGAGCCGCGCTTCAAACGTTACGCATTTCTCGATCTAACCTTTCTAGCCGATCTAACCGACTCCGTGTTTTCGCGTATTACAATTCCAAACCTTCCGAACTGGTACATCCACCGCGATTACCCCGGAATCCCTTGATCGGGTCGTAAAGGCGCAAGGAGAGACGAAAGGGTAAAATTCGATGACTAGGCGTCCAGGTACGGTACTTGCGTACCGTTATTAAGGATGCCAGCAAGCGACACGTATTTCACTTTCGTTTACGACTTAATTGTAGGTCCGCGAAAGATTTTCCGGTACTGACAATAACACTAATTAGGGATAGAGACAGAATTACCGCGATACACTCCCTGTCGTTATGTCACAAAATTATCCCCGCTAATTCCCGAAACCGTACTTGCCGTCATCAGCGCTCCGCGATTAACGACGGCACCACCGCTAACGAGTCGAGAGAAATAACATTCTTACACTTTCTACCTTGTCATTCTATCTACGCATCGATCGAGGGTTCACGCGATCCAAACGATACCGAGCGCGATTACGTTTGATCGATTGCGGCCTAAACGAATACAATGCCGCCAAGTTAACCAAAAGTTCGAAATTCGTAAATAATTAACGTAGGAATTTGTCTACTTGTTTAGTCGTACTAAAAGCGTTAGTTCCGACACTTAAAAGTTAAAAGCGTTCCTGACGTGGTCGGTTTTAACGGTATCAGTAATTTTAGATAAAACCGTTTATCTCGATTCGATACATTGGTCAAGTATGACGCGGTAATGTTGAGATTTACAGAAAATTGTTGAATATCGTTCCATTGGTACCATAGCATTGTTCTCCGAATATTGTGCGCGGACGATACGGTGCAATAAAAGTAACTCCAATAGTGACTCACGATATTCGGATATGACAAAGAGGGAAGCTTATGAGAACCCCTGACTCAAATCGTAGAAGCTCATAAATAGAATCCGTGAAAAGCGAGGGGACTCGGTAGGGGTCGGAAGGGTTACACACAGCAGGCAGCCGACTGTTTTCGATAGCGAGGCGAGGTGAGTCGAGTCGAGTCGAGTCGAGTCGGGTCGAAGGCGGCGCTGTTCTGAAAATCGGCCCTCGCAGTCGGTTTTCTACCAAAGGGCGGTCCAACTCATCGTGCGGGTACATTTTATTATTATGCATCTCTTAGCCGCCTGCGTTAGTTTGATATTATTAGGGCCTACGTAGCGGCAACTATCGAGGGTAGCAATGCTCACCGGGGGATCGCGAATCGCAAATCACCCTCGGCCATCGGCTATGTAGACTGTACGTATCCTTTTATCAGGCTGAGTTGGGTAGGGGAATACTCCAACAGCGGTAGAATGAAATAAACGGGGGAAATTGCGAGAAAATCGATACCCGAAACTCTGCGCTTTCCTGCCCAACGAAGGGAAACACGAACTAAACGAACTTTGCGAATTTCGCGACAAATCCAACCGTTTCCTTCTACGGTACGGGCACGTTTATATCTCTACTCTCATTTAGAATTACTCGAATTCGACGCGATTCGCGAGAAGAATATCGAGTAACTCGCGATATTTCAACTCGGTCTTTTTCTTCCGATGCGCGCACTTTACACCAAGTATATTTCGAAATGTGTTTATAAACGTTACAGCTTGTTTCGCAAATAAAAACGCGAACAAAGTACGACTGTCAGCCATGCGGAATTATTACTAGTTTTAGCTTGTCGCGGTGTAAATACTATTTTGAAACACGTACCGATATCATTATTCGAACGACAATGTCGTTATTATCCATATCAAGGGGTATCAATAATATCGCTATTCTAATAGTACAAAAATAGTGGAAAATTGACTTTTTTTCATTTAGTTCAAGGAAAACAAACGATATAGAATTCTAATTTTAGATTCGCATACGATACTTGCAACGATAGTATACATTCCAACATGCGTTAATTAAAAAGGTGTGCTAGAGGAAGAATTCCATCGATAAGAAAAACAATACGAGAAAACATGTTTTGACTATTTTGAGGGACTATTTTATTAATTTTTATTAAAATGAACCTTTAACGCCAAGTGCGATAAAAAGAAATTCATCGTTTCCAGTTCAAGGGAAAAGAGGATCTTTCGAAGAAGACGTTACAACTGTTACGAAACAACGTATCGCTTTATTTTTCTCGTAACGTATACGAGAAAAATACGTAAATAATTCTAATCGAGCGTGTCGAAAGTATTTTTTCCGATTTTGAAATTTCACGCAGACACCGTGTGCGTAGGATGTCGTCGGTGACTCGATATTCGGTGAAATGTGTGGGGCGCTCGGAGTCGCCCACTCGTCGGTCGACATTGTTCGAAACCGGTTGAGAACCTTTACCGCGCAGACGATCCGTATTCGGGACGCAGCTGCAAACGTTCGCGCATCGAAGAACGCGCAGATTGCGAGCACGTGACCGGCAGCCATGGTGGGAAACGGAACGAGCGAATCGGAGAGCGATTACCATCCCCTCTCCGGACTGCGCGAACAAAGAGACAAAGCTACTTGGTTCGTGTCGACGGTTGATGCCATTAGAAAGTCGTTGGCAGTTGGTGGGTGCGGTTGCTCCGCGAGGTAGAGAAAGGTGCGTCGGTGTAGGCTTGGCGAGAAAGTTTATCCGCGACGGTTGTAAAGTGTGTACGGAAGGTGCGAAGGAACGCGAAGAAGCATAGAAGAGGAAGATTAGAGATCGAAAGAACGGCGTTGCGTTTCAGTTTGAGTTAACCATTCCACCGTTTGGTCGATTCTCGCTGGCGCATCCGAGGAATCGAAAAATCGATTCGGAGCTAGTTTAACGAGCGAAAGAAATTCCGAACGCGACGTTCCCGAGTAACGAGGGATTAAATTGGCTCGGTCGAACGAGACCGCCCCTACGAATTCATCTGGTATCGAGCGAAGCTACGACCATCGCGAGAGTTTTCGCGTCGAACGAACGAGCGGTTGTTGCGAAATCGTCGATTTTCGTAAAAGAATTGCTTAAAACCGACCGGTATTTCTTTTTCGCGCTGGAGCGTCGACGAACTAATACTAAACGCGATCGTGCGACGTGGCCGCGACGCCATTTTGTGAAGATTGCTGTGCGCGTCGCGCGATCAACAACGGCCTCTCTCGTCCCGTGACCCACCATCATCGAGCCGAGGAAGAAAGAGTGTTTCTCTTGGATCGTCGCGGCGTCGTCTCTCTCGACAAGATCGGTAGAGAGGAAGAAAAAAAGGTGGAGGCGGAAGAGAACTGGTGTAACATTATCATAGCTCGTTCGACCTGGGTTACAACGCGTAGCAACCATGAGACTGGAAATTGTGTCAGCGGCGGATTTTTTGGTGCATCTGCTCCGTATTCAGACGGGCCAACTGTCGGAGCGTCAACTCGAGATGTTCAAATCGTCGTTGACGGAGGTCCTACGTCATCGCTACAGGGATCACTGGTTCCCGGATCGTCCGAATCGTGGTTCCGGTTACCGTTGCATACGCATCAACGGTAAAATGGATCCCGTGATCGCGCAGGCGGGCGCGAACGTCGGGTTGCTGCCCACGGTATTGCACAGCTTGTTCCCAAGCGAGCTCACCATGTGGATCGACCCGTCGGAGGTGTCTTATAGAATCGGAGAGAACGGATCGATTTGCGTTTTGTACGAACGAACGGAACCCGTGCCGGAAGAATCGCACCATCAACTCCAGCATCAGCATCAATTGCAACACCAGCATCAACACCATACTCAACACCAGCAACAACAACAACAACAATTCGAGAGCTGCAAGGACTCCTTGTTGCTCGAGCATTCGCAATTCAGCGAGCAGATCGCCGCGTTCGTTTCCAGTTGAAGCGTTTATTGGCATAAGTTTATCGGTACGACGATGCTAGGCGTCTCGCTTAATTTCCATTGGACGCGCATCACGCTCTCGGACTGATCAAAGCAAAAGCACACACGCGTTCTCGTGATATATGTGATGATACGCTGCCCTGGTTGAGTGAATATTCGGCTCGTGTACACGAACGCGCGATCCTACACCATCTATGTATACTATACATATATATACACGTCAAATCTTTGACCAAGCTGCGCAAGTACGCGACGGCGTCGCTTGCTATTTCGCGCGCGCGCGCGCGTCGTCTCTGATCGAGAGACCAACAACGGTAACAAATCACCAGTTTTTCGGCCAACTTCTCCGAAGGAATTCGTCCATACGCGTCGTCCGACACGACGGCTCGCTACCGTCGCAACCACGACTGACTCTAGTCCAACCGTGCGCGAGTCATCCCGTGTTTTCGTTGATACCGTACGAAACGGGATACTCATGGCGGAAGATCATCATCATCGTTTAACGTACGAATAGAATGGCCGCGCGTTCGCGTTCACGCGCAACGACGACTCATCCAGGAGCGGCGGTCCTCTTGCGTCCCGGCGAGTCTCGCGAGAAGATCCGGCTTTTTCCAGTTTCGAGAGGTACCACCAGTGCCCGACGAGACTGCCTGCAAAGTGAGAAGAAAATCTGGGCGAGTTCCGGCGAGGATCTCTCTCAGCCCGACAAATTGATCTCAGCCTCCTCCAGCGTATTATCGCGAATCCTGAAGGGAAGGTACGCGGAGCGAGGAACAACGAACCAGTCTGACCCTCTTCTCTCCTCTGTTCCGGAGCGAGGACAACCGTAACGAGCCTCTCTTCCTCGAGAACATTTCAACAATGTGTTTTTACCGTCGCAAATCTTTTTTCTTCCACGAACTTTCTTACGCGTCGATCCAACGGATCCCCCGGTGTTCCGATGCTTTCTGACAGCATGCTCTCTCCACTTTGACGGACAACAACAACAACAACAACAACAACAACAACAACGTCGAGGACAACGATCGAACGGCACTGCGAGACCGTCGTCTCCTGTTTTCGAGCCGATGCGATGGGAAAACTAACAACTTTATCTATCCTCTCTTTTGTCGCGGTGGTCGTCGAGGATTGTTTCCTCTGATATCGCCACCGAGCCACACACGAACATCCGACACTGACAATTTCCGATAAACAACAAACCGAATGAAAACAATAGAAAACAAACCCGTATATTTTATGTTGCCACGTCGTCGAACACACACAGGAGAAACCCGTTAATCCATACAATTTCTGATTCTCTTCAGAAATTTATGCCGAGCTTCTCATGGAACTCGTTAGCAACGACGACATCACCGTCGGCGTTATCGGAAACTTAGGAGCGGATCCAGATTGTCGTTTTCGGATCGTTCACCGTCATCGTTTTTCATTGGTCGTCGGACGTCGAGCGATCCCAAGCTCGGCCCACACGTTGGTATCGTTAACGTTACACAGTAAAAGAAAACACACGTTACACTGCATACGTACAAACCTTTAACAAAATGCGCGAGTTTATATGTACATATATATAGGTATTATGTATGTAGAAAGCAGTATATACGTGTAAGTGGGCGAAAGAGAAACTCGCACGTATATTTTGTGTCAAATTGTATATTATCTGTTTTTGTGAGCGGAGAAACACGGAGAGTGAGAGTGAGCGAGAGACAGAGAGAGAGAGAGAGAAAGAGAGAGGGGGAATGCACGAAGACGAATGAAAGGTGAGCGGCAGAGGGAGAGAAAGGGAAGCGTGCATGCGTGCAAGAAAGGGAAGCAAACAAATATGAGGTAAAGAACTGTGATTATCTTGGAATGAAGGGAGCTCGTATTTCGTGCATGTGCCGTACAATTATCTTTTCTGGTGTTTCGAACGTGACAAAAGGGGTCGATCGAATCGAGGAATGCATGTTGACGCGAACGAGAAATTAATTAAAACGAACGGTCGTTTCGATAAAAGAATTCGCACTTTAGGTAACAACGGCGACAACTCAACTGTCGGTTTCGTAATTATTTCTTTAACTTCCGGCGTTTTATCGACGTTTATTCCGATCAAGCTTCGTCGTTGACAACCATTTTTTGAGCGAAGCGTAGTCGTTCGGGAGTTAAAATGTGATCGTGGCTTTGGATGATTTGTCTACTCGGTAAATAATCGGTTTCTTTAAAATAGCTAAAAGACGCGTCGTAATCGTTGCAATACTCCGCGTAATGCAATTCAAATAACGCGTAGAATAGAGTCGAGTGTGCGAGTTTTGAAAGTTTGAAGCGTGACGGTTTTTCGTTCGAGATAAAATTTCGTTCTACGTACATGTGCACGTATATGTATATGTAGTTGTGCGATCGTTTCGGGATATCAACTCCGATGGCGTGTCCGGTTTAAGAGGAATTTGGTGAATAATATAGAATGGAACGCGTAACGTGCATCGACAAGTTTGCGCGTTTTACCATCTATCGTCGGCGAGTTATCTTTATTTGCCGCGTATCTAATTCCTACGTGAGAAGAATCGAGTCTCGGTGCGCAAGAATTCGAGAGAATGATGTTCGTTTGGAGACGGTAGATTATTCGACGGTGAAGAGTGTGTGGAGAGAGAGAGAGAAAGAGAGATGAAACGAGAGCCGAGAGAGAAGTGTGTCTGCGAGAAAGAGAGAAAGATGGAGGGCAGAGGTATTTGTCGCGTTCGGTATAAAATCGGAAGGCTCTGTATGTAGCAATTATAGAAACCGTGTCTGTGATTATATTAAGAATAGAGAGACAATATAAGCAATCTCTGTGTGAACGACCTAATTAGAGGCGAATGTATTCGTGATTCCGCGGCACGCGTATACGCGCCTATATTGTACCGATATTTAAAAATATGTGTTTATAAATACGTTTACGTCCAAGAGTATGCGCGGCAATTTTAAACGGATTTTTAGATTAACCTTTTAACGATCAAACCTTTACGCGGATTGTGCATTAATCGCGTATACCGAATACATACGATACATAGTATATCCGACGGGTTCGCTTGATTTTTTTTTCTCTGGTTGCATGTTTTTCTCGTCGGGAACGATCGACGTTTTATCTAGCAAACAAAAATTAGAAAAATAGATTTGATCGTTGGGCAGTTTATCAGGGTCCGTGATACGCTCGCAGCGCGCGATAAGTTGCAATTGAAACGCAAACACGTTCGATTAAAATTGCTAAACATATATACCCGTCATCTTGCGAAATTCCGATAGAAGCCGGGGCGCGCAGACGAGGACAAAATTGGATTTCGCCGTTTTTGTTTAATTTCGAATCACAGAATGCGAACCGTATCTCTCCGAACGACCATCGACGAAACGAATTTGTCGTTCGACGAAACTGGAGAAAGCGTGAGTCGAACGGCGACGCGTAGAAATCTCGCACACCTTATAGTCCGTAGACGATACGATACGATGTATATGTATGATATAACTTGTAAGAGCTGTAAAGATAATGTTCCTTTTTCTCTCTTCTTTTTCTTTTCTTGTCTTCTTTATTTGATTTCGAGCCATCGGAGGAAGATAACCGACGATAATAGGCCGCGCTCATCCGATAAACCGTTTGATTCGTGTACACACACAAACACACGTACAGACACTCACACAGATGTATTGTCCACGCGTAAACGAACGAACACATTACACGAAACCGTATGGAATTATATTCACAGCGTTGGCGAACAAGCGGAAATTCAGCGAGAAAAAAAACGTTGCGAGAATCGGAGCGAGAGTTTATTTCACGAGCGAATTGTAATTACTATATATACATATATATACGCATATATTATATATACATACAAGTTGTATATATATACAAGTTGTATATATATATATATATATGTATACATATATATATATATATATACACAACTTGTAACTATACATAGAGTCCTTCAGGAAGAATTTGTACAAACCCGCTGGCATAATGTACCAGCAAGTCTGTGATTTTAGCTTGGTTAATTCAGTATTTTTTTAAATAAAACGAGACAAAATCAAGATAAACGATAAAAAAAAAAAGCAAGATTCGAACTTGGAAAGAGGACTCGTGCAAGGGAGAGACGCGAGCAAGAGAAAGTTTTGTACGAGAAAAAGCATAAGTCGTTTATACCGTGTTGCGTATCGAGCATGGTTGGAGGTCGATGTGTGACGCGCGTGTGTGGGAGGAAGGGGAGGTGCAAGTAGAAAAGCAAATATAGCAAAGTGCCGACGGGAGATATTTATCGCGTGTATATTTCACGAAAATTTGTACAAAAAGTCATCGCTCGCACGCCGACGTTGCAGACGCAAAATTTTGAATCGTATAATTTTCTTTTTTTATTTTTTGAATTTTTTTTTTGAATTTTTAAACGCATATTACCGTCGAGGGCCGTTGCGCTCCCGATTTGATTACAATTGTAAATATGATAATATACTTAACGTGTAATTTCGATCGTGAATTAACAACGATGGTGTGTGTAGAACAAAAAATGAATGTATTTTCTTTTCTCTTTTTTTTTCTCTTTTCTTTTTTTCTTTTAGACGATAATTAATTATTTATTCGAACTCGAACTTCAGAGTTTCATTTGCACTGTAAATCATACGCGTCCTCTGCGCGAATAGTAATTGTAAAATTCAATTGGAAATGTGCACAAGTAATATTCGTCTTCCGTTCGCAATTTTCACGTACGATCCCTCCGCTTTCTCCGAGAGTTGCCAGTGTGGTGGTGGGGTGGATGCGAGCGTGACAGAGGAGCCGAGACGTATAGTTAGTTAGCGACAAAAGAGATACGCAGCGAACATCTGGAAACGCGTCGCGGTGGTATGTAAAGGCAATACCGTTTTCGGGTGCGTTCATGTGCGTTTCTCGTTCGTCGTTGCAAAGAGCCACAATTTATTTAACACGCTGACGTTGAAAAAGTGTCCGGTACCGCGTCACCTGGACTTGTTTACACTCGACTAACGGCTTCGAGAGTTCGCTACGCGTATCTTTTCTATGTTCGCTGTACCGGCGGAGGGGGGTGGGGAAGGAATCGCAAAATTAGAGTACATGTCGTGTATCGTTCTTTTCTGTGGAATTGACGCTTTTGTTGGGACACCAGGAAGGAGAATGCACGCGCGAGAGAGGGAGAGAACGTGTTTCGAAAGAAAATTGTGCGACGAGTTAGAAAGAGTGTTTGCGAGAATGAGAGCATGCGAGCGGGTAGAGCGAGAGAGGCTACGAGAGCAGATCGAGGGAGAAAAAGAGGGATGGACGGTAAGAGAGCGTGAGGCCCGGCAGGGGTGCTCAACTCGGGTGAAGTAGGCCGTGGGTTCCATCGTGGTAATATATGTAATTGTGATGCCGAATTATTGTATTAGATTAGACAGAATTCGTAGCGACTTTAACACGCGTTTCTCAAGCTAAAGAGACAAACGAGATACGAGACACCGATCCAAGGTCATCGAGATCCGAATTCGGCGGCCCTGTTGGTCAGTGCACAAGGAAAACAAAAAAAAAATTACAACACATCCACACACGCGAACCGATCGCGATCGCAAGCGAGACGATCTACACGAGGAATTCTGTATAAAAGAAATTCGCTTTACCAATAGTCATACGAGAAAAAGAAAAAAAACACACCGAAAATAATACACGTTGGAGACGTAAGATGCACATACACATGTACACGTACACATACTTTGACGAGATACATGGAACAGACACGAGGAACACGTTTACGTACACTCTCGAATCTGTAGACTAGTAGGTTTACTATTAATTATGAATTATGATTATTATATCTATTACTACATCAATGTATAATTATATTTAGTTTTTAGGTTACTATGTCTATCATTTTCCGCTTGTACATATGCCGTGAGCTCGAAAAAATTAAATCTTTATCAAATGAAATCTATAATTTTTTCGACTGTTTTTGTACAGAGATAATAAAAACAAAAAGGCCTCGTGCTTATGAAATTTCATGAATACAAAACAACCGCTGTCCAGTATTTTGATTTTTCATCGATGTCCTAATTACCGCTTCCTCTGCAGATATTTGTCAACAAACGGCTTTCATCTTTCTATAGTACGTACAATCTTTTGCAGTGGAAGAGATGTTCGTCGATTTCCCACGCGCAGGTACAATTTCTAATTCCTGGGTCGTTAACTTTTATTTACGCAAATTTGATCGTTAATGGCTTTATATAAACACGAAATATTTCATCGTCGTTGACCAGTGACAATTCTATTATTATATTTTTTTTTTTTTTTTTTTTTTAACATGACACGTTACAATAGTATTTCCTTTGCATCTCGTAGGTACTTTTATATTTTATTGTAAACGGTTTTCTACAAGGGATTTCAGGATTAAAATTTTTAATAAAACACAACCAGTGCGGAAATATTTCTGGTCTGTTTTTATTTCCAGCGAAATAATACGCGGAGATTCCCCTCTCGAAACAAATTTCGCGATTTGAATGGTTAAGAATTTTCTTATACACATGTCTGTTCTTGTATCTCTGGTGGGGGTAAGAGGCTCGCGACAAATTCATTTGTTCTAGACGTATGCCGTTCGTTACGAAAGCGACGAGTCCAGCTCTTATTTATTTCCAGGTATAAAAGGTTTACATCTCGGTTGGCCCGTGAAGCGCGATCAAAGTTTTTGAAATAATCGCGTAACAATCGTACGATAATAACGAATGTTTTCTTCGTTTCGTTTAGCTAATCGAACGAAGAACGAAATACGATTGCCTCCTCGACGATGAAAAATTTGTATCGACACTAACTATAAATATAACAAACTAAACGTCCACATACGTAGCCACACATGTTTAAACTCGATCTCAAACAATTATTTTATTTTTCGTAGGAACTTTTACATTACCGGCTGCATGTAAGACCAGCGTTGCAAAAACGTTGAAGAAGAAAATGACGAACAAGCAAAAGAAGAGAACGCGAAGAAACGCTCGAACTCGAGAGAGAACCATAGTCGGCAGGGACCGACGCGAATAGTTGGTTATTAGTAATGTATCCGGCGATAGGTAAATCGTGAATCGCGAATGGTGAATGGCGGATCGGTGTGAAATAAACGGGCGTTACTCGATTGGTCAGGTAATCGTCGATGGCCGATAATCGAGCGGCTGGACAGGTTTCGCGGGAGTTGTATCGCCATTACCAATGGTAACTGCAACCGGGAGAAAGGGTATCGAGTGCCACCGCGAGAATTCGATACGCCATTTTTCCATCGACGGTCGTTCGAGCTTTCAAGTTGAAGACCAACCTCGATTCCCGTCGAGAGTACGTCGAGAGCGATCGACGCTCGCAGATATTAAACGTATCTAGGCGAAAAAAGCCGTTCACGCAGACGACTAACCGGTCTTTCCGTCTCTATTTGCCGGCAACAAAAATCCATTCAGGAATATCGCTGCCAAGTATCTCGACGTCGATGCAATTAATATGTCGTAATCTCGGATATGCGCGAGAGGGAATTACTCGTTTTTCATTTCGAGGCGAGCCGCGAGCGATATACTTTTATTATATTTCACGGGGAAGAAAGATGTCTGCGTCGGCGAGGCTCGAATCGACGTCGATCGTCGGTTCCGTTTCTTTGCGTTTCTTCGGAGCGAGAGGTTCGTCGAGCGTGACGCTGTTTTCGCGGAACCTAACGCACCAGAGAACCCGTGAGGTTGCGGTGGACTCCTCCGAGTACACCATTTAAAAGGAACGTAAAGTCGAGGTTGGGCAAAACGAGCGTCGATAACCTACTAAACGGCACGTTTCGAAGTAGAAGATTTACCGGAATGAAATGTTTGTTAAAAACAAGCGCGGCGATCGTGGAGGCATCATCTGTGGCGCAAGATTTTGCATCGAGGCCTTGGTAGCTGACGCGTTAAGGTTTGTTGGTTCGGGACACGACGATGTGGGACAAATACGAGACGGTATCGCGAAGAGGAGAGGTACTGCGACGTGCGAAATGACGGCGAATTATTGTGCCGAGGAGGAAGAGGAGCCACAAAGGATAAAAGGGTGAACAAGAGTGGGAGAGGGACGCGCGGCGGTAGAGGGGCGTTGGAGGAGGAGGCGGAGGAGGAGGAGGAGGAGGAGGAGGCGACCGATAGTTGTCGTAAGGGTCAGCGTCGGTTGTTGCCCTGGCCCCTTAACGTTGCTTGGCCCGCTCGGTTATTGCTCCCCCCTCCCTCTATCATTTTAGAATCGCGATTTCTGTTCAACATCAACACTCCGCGAAACCATTCCTTCCTCTCCTTTCTCTTTGGTGCAATTCCACCCCCCTGTGCGCCATCCTTGCTCTTTTTGCTCCCGGTCGAAAAGTCGACCGTCTTCGAAGGGCGCCCGAGGACAACGATCACGACGACAACCGTCCAACACCGAACACCAATCAGCCAAATTAACCATCGACTACCGATGTAAGTCTCGTTGGGTTTCTTTCTTACTCTAACCGAGATTACAACTGGAACTAATCGTCGAGAACTTTGCAAATACTCGATCGCTATGCTTTCTAATAACTCGCGGTCGTATTACAAGGAAAAGAAAGTACCGATGCGACTACGAAAGAGTCGTCTTTAGACGATAGAGAGCATTTTAAGCAAAAAATCGAATTTTTTTTTTTTTTTTGCTTAAAGTGCTCTCTAACGACGTGTCGTTAATTAGAAGTCAATAAGGGTAGGGTAAGGGTAGGGTGAGGGTAGTTTCGAGCCGTAGAAACGGTTAAATCGATAAAATTGAATTTTCCGCTTCGCCGTGCGACGCAAACTGTATGAAAAGAAAACGATCCCGTTGATACTTGTTTTCCCTGTAGCGTAAGTGTGGAAACCAGAGGGGGCTTGACGGGGTCCTCGTCGACCTTGGTCGTTACTCGCGCCGTTTCGGAAACGAGAAGAGCATAGAAATGCTGCACAGCGTTAATTAATCATTCTCCGAGCTACTTATTTTTAATAGCGAAGAATCAACGTCGCGCACGGTCGCGGCAGGCACGATGCGTCACAGTTTCGCGAATGGAAATTGCGGCACGCGATAGTAGGGCACGGCCGGTGAACAGTTCTGCCGGCGAACAGTTCAGCCGGTGGAAACTAGACTCGTTTCAGCGAACGCGCGTCTTTTGTGCGAATGTTGTTGAAAAGCAGATTTCGGACGGTGTCGCGTAACGGTAGACTTGAAGCGGGAGTTGCAGGGTGTCTGCGATGGGAACGATACCGCATAAATTATTAACCGCTCGTTAATTATGCTTCGGTATCGCGCAGCCTCGAAAAACAAGTCCAACGAATTCGGTAACCGTTCGACCATCGACAAACGACGCATTCCGCGAACTCGGCGTTTTAAACTCGTCGATTGCGTTGCGAAAGCGGAGAGATGTAAGGTCTTTCTTTGGCTGCGCACGGTCCTTCTTCTGGTTCTTCTCTTATCGTTCAATTGGCAGCCACTTCTCGCGCCTTTTCCGTGCCCATGCCGGCCCATTGTCGCTCGCTCGAGGGTGCTTAGCTTTGCAGACACGTTCGCGCGCCCAGTCTCGCCATATTCGAAGGCTCGCGAAAAAAAAAAAAAAATGGCGCCTTTGCACCTTTCGACCGGCCAACGCGACAGTTTCCTCCGTTTTCGACGCCGGAGTTGCGCGCAACCGACTCCTATAAACAGAAGGGACACGCTTCCGAACGCTACGATACAAAAGATACGTTTACACGCTTCTTCAATGGGATTTATTTGAACATTCTAAACAGAGGCGATACGCGCGAAATAAGTCACGGCTTTCCTTGTTATCGTTTCGACTCTTTGCCCCGCGTGTTGTTGCATTTGTATCGTAACATTTATAGCTGTATTTTCAAATATCGCGCGCTTCTCCTTCTCACCGATACGTATTGTTATAACGCGTCGAGCACGAAATCTTCTGTTTATACCTTGTATGGTGAAACATCTTGGATTTTCATTTCTTTTTCAACAACTTGCTTCGTGACGCAGGAAATACCGTCTAGTTCAACGGAGATTTTTTTCTTTTTCGAAATCAATTATTTTCAAACAAGAAGATAAACTGTAAAGTTTCAAAATATTTTGTTGCATTGCGTAAGTAAGAGAAAAAAAAAATGATTACTATTGCGTAGGAATGAAAAGAAGGAATATTTGTACGAATGATTAAACGCATCAGAGGTGGCGGAGCAATGGAACCTAAGTGACGGCTAAATCAAAACCGGAGTTAGACTCCGGTGTACTCCGGTGTACTCTGGTTCCGTTAAGAGAGGCGAGATGAAAGTCAGTCGGAACGTGAAACAGCCAGAGCAGGGCGCAGGTCAGTCGGAGCGTGCGACCATCAACATCGACGAGTGCTACAGTTTCGAACACATGTAAGCTTCTCGAGAGTTACCTGAGCCACCGTTTCCTCAAATACTACTGCAAATTTCGTTCTTCCGCGTACGGTAAAGTCTACTTACTGTACATATTTTTGCAAATTCTTATCCGCGAAATCGAACGAATTTGAATCGTTGAAAATCGAAGAAGCTTCCTGTAAGGCTGCCGTGGCTTCCAAGAGGAATCGCGAAACCGTACCGATAGAGGAACGCTCTATTTTCAATTACGCGAGCGCGTCGGCGTCGAGTCGCATCGCCGCAAAACTCGATACGCGCGTTCCTAGCACCAGCAGACGCGCTCGCACGTCTGTGTCTCTACGTTGCAACGTGTTTCGCAAACTCCGCGGTCGTTAACCTTACGTGAAAACGGATAAGACGGGGTTCGACTATGGCAACGTCGTTGCTCTTTATAGACACCGAAACGCGTGGCGAACGTAAGTGGTTTTAAATGCACGCCGAAACCTACGCGTACGGGGACTTGGGGGTTCTCCTAAGCGTGCACTTCTTTTCGCTACATTTCGCGACGTTAACGCTTCAAGCGCGGGCCCTGCTTTGTTTTCCTTTACGTTTACGCCACGACACGACACGTCCAGAGAAAAATAAGAACCGAAGCGTCTACCGACTCAACACGATTCGAAAGCTCGATTCCACGTCTA